GGGCGGGAAGGACAAGAAAAGGAGAGATTTGATGTGCTTCCAGAACTGGCTTCATAGCCCAGGGCAGAGAGCTTTTCTGACTAATGAAATACAAAGAGTATTTGTATTGTTTGTTTTCTTCACAGAAAAATATGCTCAGCACTGGTGTGGACTACTAACTGACAAGAAAGGACCTTTTGCTGATTGTCACTATGCAGTGAATCCCTCTGATTACCACATGGTACTTTGTTAGACTGTTTTTCCCCTTAGAAACAATAGAAATAGGATCATTACAACTAGCTACCAGAAAAGGACTGTTCCAGACATCTCTCTCATCTTAAGCAATGCCTGTATTTTCCATTCTGTACAGCAGCACTTCCTTCTCTCAACGTTTGTTTCTGTTTGTGTCGTAACATTACCTTAATTCAATTGTCAGTCTTGGCTTCAAGAACCTGACTTACTTGCAAACGAAAATGCAGCTATTTACTCCTGGATGGATACACACATGCAGTAACAACTGTATACAAAGGCATGTCAAATGCTTGTTTGAATATCAGTGAATTGTTGTCTCATCAGCTTCGTCTCATTAATAACTAGTTGGCACAGAAAGCCCATTAGTTAATTTTCAAAATTCTGCTATCAATATGTTGCCAGTCTTTCTTCTTACAATGAATCACCGAGATACAGACACTGGTGAAACGATGTTTCTAGACTGCATACCACGAACAGAGCTTTGTATGCTATTCTGCAGCATATTCGTAAATATGGTTCAGAGGGACATGAAACTACTAAACGTATAACAGACTTTAAGACCACTATTTCCCAGTAATAACTGCAGACATGAACTGGATTTCCATTACCTTCATTCTTCCCAGCCAGGCAACCGTAGACAAACACTGGGAAAGTTTGCTAAAAAAAAATTGCTAAAGCTATATTAGTGTTGATTATGAGTGAGCATATCTGAAGAAGGATTAGTGCATAAGACCAGAAAGACTATGCTCATTTTTTTTTATACTGATAGTATTACTAGTGCTGAGACTTTATTTTTCTCTGTATTCTTAGAACTGCATGTATGACACATGTAACTGTAAAAATAGTGAGGACTGTCTGTGTGCAGCCCTGTCTTCCTATGTGAGAGCTTGTGCTGCAAAAGGAATACAGCTGGATGGATGGAGGGCTGATGTCTGCTGTAAGTATTCTAAACTATCCCCTTTCCTATGAACACACATCAATAAAAACTGCTGGTCAGGGATTACTTTATACTGATTTCTAGATAAACACAGTAAGTGTTGAGGAAGGGATTTTGTTAAGTAAACTTCTGGAAGTAATTCTCTGCTGTTCCCTTAGAATCAATTCATTGCTAACAAGTGTAAATACAAACAGATGGAAGACAGGTTGCCCAGGAAAGAAACTGCTGTTATGGAAGTGCCTCTACCTGTTTCTATGCAACTCTGAATTTCATTGCAGCATTATGTATGTCAAGTTACTGTAGAGTAAATGTGACATATTAGAATAACAGTGCTAGTAATTCTAACCAGAACACTTGCAAATGAAAGGTCTCTGAAGTTGCATGCTGGGATCCACCACAAGTAGGTCTGGTTTTGGCATACAAGGAGACATTCAGGGAGATATCTTGTTTCGTACTTCCAAAGGTTTAGAAATCTTGCCAACACCAAATGGAGGTTTCTTTCTGAAATCTCATTTGAGAAAATATTTTCTTCCTTGCATACATGACTTAATCCACATCTACAGTGGCTTTTCAGATCTAACTCTATAAGCATCTGGAAATACATTTACATGAAAGATGCAACATAGGCAGAGGTGTGCAGTATTGTTTACATGTTATTTCTACTGCTGTGGTTTCTTTTTCCCCACCAGAAATTACTATCTGGAATTAACAAACATATTTTATTTTCCTCTGTCAAGCAAAATACACGTCATGTCCCAAATCCCTAAGCTACAGCTATAACATCTCTTCCTGTCAACCTACTTGTCGATCTCTGAGTGAGCATGATGTCACATGCAACATTAAGTTTGTCCCAGTTGATGGCTGTACCTGCATAAACGGAACTTACATGGATGAGAGTGGCAGATGTGTGCCTGCTACAGAATGCTCCTGCTACTATAGAGGATCTCCCATATCATCTGGAGAAATTGTCCAAGAAAATGGGCTTGTATGGTATGTGTATGTATTTTCTTATTAGAATCTGCTACATTTAAATTGGTCTCAGCCTGCCTTGCCTGAATTTCAATACAATGCTGTCTCCTTTTTTTCAACTTTAAAGAAAGTGCATATTTCCCTGAGCTTGAAGGGGAATATGCTGTACCACTGAAACATACATAAGTCAATGGGGCCAGCTGAGATCAATCAAGTGTACTGAGGGAGGTGGTGGGAGTACTCACCATTTTCAAGCATTTATCGGCAGTCCTGGCTAACAGGCGAAGTCCCAATTGACTGGAGGTTAGCAAACGTGATGCTCATCTACAAAAAGGACCAGAAGAAGGATCCGGGGAACTGCAGGCCTGTCAGTCTGACCACAATGACAGGGAAGGTTATAGAGCAGACCCTCACCCAGGCAATCAGGCCCAGTCAGCATGGCTTTATGAAAAGCAGGTCCTGCCTGCCAAACCTGATCTCCTTCTATGGCAAGGTGACCTGCTTAGTGGATGAGGGAAAGGCTGTAGATGTTGTTTACCTGGATGTTAGTAAAGCCTTTGACACCATTTCCCACAGCATTGCCCCGGAGAAACTGGCTGCTCATGGCTTGGACAGGGGCACACCTTGCTGGGTGAAAAACTGGCTGGATGGGCAGGGCCAGAGAGTGGTGGCCCTAGTCACAAGTGGTGTTCCCCAGGGCTCAGTGTTGGATATCATATGAAAGCAGCACTGGTAGTGGTATTAAGGGAAATTCTTTCCTTCAAAAATACTGAAATTTGACAAGAGAGAAGTAGCTCTCAGTCCCAATATGTGATTTAAGAGATTTTTCTTTTTTTTTTTTTTCTCTCTTGCAGCACTTGCATCCAGGGAAGACTGGATTGTACTGGAGAAGGTAATCCAGCTCAAGGTAAAAAAATATAAAAATCTTCTTCCACTTCTCTGTGTCAGGTTCTGGACAGAAATTGTTCATATAATTGATTGAAAAGATATGATCTTAAAGGAGTTTTAAATAATTGAAGTATTTTTGATTTAGTTATAGTGCAACAGTTATCATAAAAGACAGGAGTGAACCTAAATCAATGATAGGATTTCTTTTTCATAATGATTTTTTTCTAAAATACTGTGGGTTTTTTTCTGGGAATTCAGTGCTCTGAAATGAATCTATTTAATACAGACAGCATTCCTTACTAACTGAAATATGCAATTTCCAAAGGATTTCTAGATGGTTTTAATGGCTAGAGATGTGAAATAAATCCTGTGCCATTTCTTACTGCTCTCACTTCTTTCCTTCCTTTAGTCTGTGAATCTCCCATGGTTTACCTAGACTGTAGAAATATCACTGAAGGAACAACTGGAACAGAATGTCAAAAAAGTTGCCAGACTCTGGATATGCAGTGTGTAAGTATTTCATGGCTGGATAAAGTAGTGCTTCCAGGTTTTGTTTGTGCTCTCTCTTGGTGGTAAAGTAACTGATCTATCTGATCTTCAAATCTACAACACAGATACTTTGTTCTTGTAGCAAAAGCCTAAAACCATGTTATAAAACATTAATAATGGGACCCTCAGACAAAAATATAAAAATGTAACATCCAATTTAATTCATAAAATTGGTGTCCACCTTTCTTCAGCTACTGCAGGTAACAGTAACTAGTAGTGAAAATACCTTGGACACACATTTTACTTGTCTAGGAGAAAACTACCAGCTATAAACTGGGTAGAAGAAATAATTTTTTCTCATACCATAATGCAATTGGGAACTTCTTGCACACCTAATCATAATATTCCATCTAAATGCATGGTAGCCACGTGCCATTTTGTGAATAAGTACCATGGGAGATAAACAGATTTTGATGTAAATCAATCAAATCGAAAAAATATTACGTGTTTTCTTTTCAAAGCTCCATTCAGTCACCCACTACAAAGTGCAAGGCTTCTTCAGCTAACACCGAGCAAGACTTAAGATTCAATGTATCTTAAATCTCACAGACTGCAGCAGAGTAATCAGGATTGGCATACATAAAACATCTTTAACTGATACATACTCTACTAAATCAATGGTTAACAAATTCTGGTTTGTTCCACTGCCCTATAATTACTTTATAGTCCTCTCCCATTTAAGATGGCCAGCAATAAGACCATATGAAGACATTTTATTTTAATTTTTTTCTATTGTGAATATTTCATTCTGAAATTTTATCTTCTCTTGACTTTTCCAGTATAGCACGAAATGTGTATCTGGCTGCGTGTGCCCAGCTGGGCTTGTGTTACACGGAAATGGTGATTGTATTCCTGAAGAGGAATGTCCGTGTATTCACAATGAAGCTATGTATCAGCCCGGGGAAAAGATCAATGTTGACTGTAACACCTGGTAAATATTTCCTCAGAAGTAGCATTCCTGGTTCCATCATTTGTCTTTCCAAAGATCTTACATAGTACAGCAGTAAAGAAATATTTGGATTACACATGCCACCAATTGATGGATCTTTCAGTTGTGAATTAAACAGTATGAGGTGGTTTCCTTCTGATGTAGACAGGCAGCCAAAGCACAGAATGGGAAAAAGTCTTTGGGACTACACTATTCATTTCGTAATATCCTGGTTTGCAGTCAATGCACTCACAGTGGCAGAACAGAACTTTGCTTTAATACTTTACATGAAAAAAACATAAAAAACTGTTTTAACTCCAGAATCAATACAACATTTACGAGGGATGAGTTGCCAAACAAATACTGATTTGGTGGGATATGTCTACACAAAACAGTGAGTTGTTTTATTATTAAAATATTTTATTCTTATTCCTAGTGTATGCAAGAATAGAAAGTGGGAATGCACCAAAGATCAATGTCTGGGCACTTGTGCTGTTTATGGAGATGGTCATTATAATACCTTTGATGACAAAAGGTTCAACTTCAATGGCAACTGTGAATACACACTAGTCCAGGTACTGACAATTAGCAATAGTAAATGAGACTTACCCTTGACTGTGTCTACAAAAATAATGTATTTTAAAATGTTACTCTCTACCCAGGACCACTGTGGGATGAGTGGCACAGCCAATGGAACCTTCCGGGTTATTACTGAAAATATTCCCTGTGGCAACACTGGGACAACTTGCTCAAAATCTATCAAAGTTTTCTTAGAGGTAAGATCAGCTGTGCTCTGTAACTGTTTACAGCTCAAGAGAAGCCCAGATACCCATTGCATCAAGGAAGTTGGAAAAATATTTCAAGAAGCAAATTAATTTGTAAATTAACCTTAAATCAAATTGAAGTGAAATATTTGGTAAAGCTTCCCAGCTTTCTAGCTTTTCCATTTCCCACACTATCTTATACCACTCTTGGGCAAACTACAGATTTACAGGAAAATAGTCTTTAGCAGAAATTAGCCTATCATGTCATATTATTTTATTCTGTGCAATTTAGATCCTCCATGACTGCCAAAATATTCTCTTTTGCCCTATGCCATTTAAAATACCTTCTTACCACAGTTCCAGGAGCCTGAGATTTGAACTATATAGTTTTATTGCATTTGGATTATTTGTTTTCATTATATAAAATATGCATAGTATTCTTAAAAAGAGAAAAATGTGTTTAGGAGCACAGCTGCAGCTATTGAGTTCATTTCTAATCACCTTTTCCTCCTGTTTCAGAGCTATGAATTGATACTTGGTGAGGAGCATGTCAGTGTCATAAAGAGAGGACAAAATAATGAGGTGTCATACACAGTCCGCTATATGGGTATGTACTTGGTAATTGAGACCACAAGTGGACTGATACTCATGTGGGACAAGAAAACCAGCATCTTCATCAAGCTCAGCCCTGATTTTAAGGTGCGGAACTAGCAGTTAAATGGCAATTTACAGTCCAGATTTGGACTGTGTGTGAATTTTGTTGAGACTCTGCCAAGATCCCAAACAGGTGATGTCTCTAGCATTCCTAGGACATCCCATGTTGGTTTTCATTCCTCTGGTGCCTTAGGAAGCCATGTCATAATTCTGCTGCTCTTCTGAGCTCTGAAGGCAGCTTTCAGTGCTTACTTGGCCTGACAGAACTTGAATTGGCAAACTGCTTTTTTGGACTTTGTTAAAATTACCCACTGAACCTTGGTAAAGGTTATCAGACCTTATAAAAATTACATAGCTGCATGTGTCAAAATAAATTGAGTAGTCTTGATCTTGAAAGTTATCCATTGTTTCCAGTTCTCATTGACACACAAATCACATTATCATACTTTGAGAACAAGGAAGTGAAATATTAGGAATGAAAGCCTCTTGTAAAAAGCTGCCACATATTTTTCAAGCATGATTTACACAGGTGACAAGAAAAATGCATTTCTGTTCTCATACTCCTTCTTCTAGCTTATGATACGTAAGTACTAAAAAGTGTGGTAGATGAGTAATTTGCTATCTTACTGTATACAGCAGTAAGTTTTCAGTTAGGTATATAGAATCATAAAACCACAGAATTGACTAGACTGGAAAAGACTTTAAGACCATCAAGTCCAACTGTTCCCCCAGCACTGCCAAGTCCACCACAAAACTGTGTCACTGAAGGCCTCATCTACATGGTTTCTCAACAGTCCCAGGGATGGTGATTCCACCACTTCCCTGGGCAGCCTGTTCCAATGCCTGATGATCTTTTTGGTGAAGGATTTTTCCTAATATCCAATCTAAACCTCCACTGGTGCAGCTTGAGGACATTTCCTGTTAAATTAAGTGCAATTCAGAACTAGATATAAAAATCTGTTTCAGTATCATAGGTTCTTTTGCTGCCTCACCCACTGGCATTTTATACAAATAGTAGTAATATGGGAAGTTTGCACCTTAGATTCGTTGAGAAAGCATAGCATCTACTATAGCCTATCAGTTTTACAGATCCATAAATTTAGAATGAGAGATGTTTCTGTATGTTCAAGGAAAATGTAATTCCTTTTTATACCTGTGAGCAGTTACAACAGTAAAGACTCAATGAGTAGACAATGTGGCTGTACTGGTAGTGTTTATGAAAGCTTTGTAAGGCTGTTTTTTATATCTACATCTATTGTACAAAACAGGGCTTAAATTGAAATCTTAGTCAGCTAACTGAATCCTTGTTTCCTCATTAAATACATACCCCAAAGACCAAAGGTTACAATCACAGAATCATATGATCCTGTGATTGCAACCTTCAGTCTTCGGGGTATATGATTCTGTGATTGTAACCTTCGGTCTTTGGGGTATGTATTTAACGAGGAAACAAGGATTCAGTTGACGAGGATGGTTTTATTGTGCAGATTTAAAAGAAAAGTCAAGAGCAGTATCCTTCTAGCAGTAGTCGTTATGTTGCTGAGGAAACAAAGGATTAAGATGTTCAGGAATGTTAGAATGGAATTTCAAGTATTCTTTCAGCCTCAGATGTCGTTTCAAGGTTTTTCTCATCCATTATTATTTTATTTACTTCTTTTTGCAGGGCCAGATCTGTGGCCTCTGTGGAAATTATGATGGCAACGGCATCAATGACTTTACTACAAGGAGTCAGTCAGTGGTAGAGAATGTCCTGGAGTTTGGAAACAGCTGGAAAGTATCCTCTACATGTCCTGATGCTTCCAGCATAAAGGACCCATGTTCTACCAACCCTTATCGAAAATCCTGGTCAGAGAAACAGTGTAGCATCATCAACAGCAATGTCTTTGCTGCCTGTCACTCTCAGGTATCACCACGGCAAAAGTTTACTTTTGGTGTGAAGATTAGGTCTATGTACTATCGAAGCTGCTATCCTCATACATTTTAACATGCATGCCTAATTCAGCAGTAATTCACTAATATGTTTCACTTCGAATTGCGTCAGGAAAACTTCAATCTGAATCACGCTTATGGGACAGATTTATAGTCACTACCTGTAAGAAATAAAAGGCTATCTAGTTCAAAGGAAATACTGACATATTACAAAAGAATGCTAATTTCATAATTGCTATGTATTTTCCTGTAGTGGAGCACAATTAAAAATTTTCATATACTACGTACAGAACACAAGCTCAACAAAATAATAATATAGTAATGAAGTATCAGCATAGCCTTTATCTGACACTAAGTAAATACCAAACAATGCAGGGTAACTGTGTTCTTCCTATTTAGTTCTTTCCACTGGAAGATACATTGATTTTCAAGTGTAATTGCCTACTGCTTGCAAACATGAATCTAATCTTCCACTAGGACACAAGTCTGGATGACTAAAAATCTGTCAATACTGGTTCAGATGTATAATCTGGCAACACCTCTGATGTTTAACAGTGTATATAAGCAAAAGAAAAAGAAATTCCTGACATAAACCTTTCCTCTGAGATACTACAGTTTTAAGAAAATTACCCTAGCAAAGCTAAGAAAGAATTTAGATGGTAGGATATTTAGTATTAAATTTCCTTTTATTAACAGGTTGAACCAGCAAAATATTACCAAGCATGTGTGACAGATGCCTGTGCATGTGACAGTGGAGGAGACTGTGATTGCTTTTGTACAGCAGTAGCTGCCTATGCTCAAGCGTGTAGTGAAGTTGGCGTCTGCATAGCCTGGAGAACCCCATCAATCTGTCGTGAGTTTTATGTCATAAACACTTCTTCTGAAAGTGTAGTTGAATTCATAGTGCCTTGCTTAACACACGCTGTGGGTATCTTACGTATGTGCATTATAATCTCACTGTGTAGATTTTTCATACTAAGCTGTTTTGACGGTGACACAATTTCACCTATTCATTCCCAGTTTTCAGGACTGTTCAAGCAGCACTGGAGGAATATGATGAACTGGCATGAGTCAAAAAAATATCTTTTTATTCTTTTTTTTTTCTATGTCTTTTTTCTGAACATGTCCAAATTTCTGTTTCTCCTTAGCACTCTTCTGTGATTACTACAATCAACAAGGGGAATGTGAATGGCACTATAAGCCTTGTGGAGCCTCCTGTATGAAGACCTGTAGAAACCCAAGTGGAAAATGCCTCCACAACTTGTCAGGTTTAGAAGGTAAAGAGAGCTGCAAGTATCTTATTTTGTTATGTATTTAATGTTTTTTATGGAGTGTATTTCCCCATCAGCTATACTTGCAACACTCCATTCTCTTCAACATCATTGTGTTCACACAAACGGAGGCAGAGTATAGAAAGTAGAGTTAAAAACATCTGTAAGACTAAGTACTTGTGGGTGGGCTCTGCTGATGCTAGTACACTGCTTTACTTCCTAGAATTATTGGAAAAAATAAGTAGCAGAATTATGACTATTGAAAGCAACACCTGCAAACGCATTCTGCACAAATAAAAATTTTGCTCACTGTATCTCATTCTTGCCTATCTCCTGTATGTCCTTTTTCTTCCTTCAGGCTGCTACCCTAACTGCCCACCAAACAAGCCATACTTCCATGAGGCTCAGATGAAGTGCGTTAGTCTCTGCGACTGTTATGATAATGAAGATGGAAAGATATATATACGGGACGAATGCCGTTTATGGTAAGATTTAACATACCAACCTAATCGTGTACAAGGAAAACCAATCAAAACAGCAGTGGGAAATTGCATGTTCCTGTTACAGGATAGGACTAGTTTATGCTGCCTGTGTAAACATAATGCCTTACTACATATGTCAATACATTAGTAGGAAGAAGTTCTTACATGATTTTGTGTTCAAGTGAATTTGTTCCTGATTATCATAGAATCATAGAGTCATAGAATAGTTAGGGCTGGAAAGGACCTTAAGATCATCTAGTTCCAACCCCCCTGGCATGAGCAGGTACACCACACACTAAAACTATGTCGCCCAAGGCTCTGTAAATCCTCCTCATAAAGATACAGTAAGACCAGTAAGTCCCTTATGACAAGGCTTTCTCTATTTCCCATTCCTATGGCAGGGAAAATATTGTTCCATGAGTATAAATATGTAATAGGGGTTTACTTTCAAGGATTTTATTACATTCTTATACCGCTTGTAGTATCTAGACTCTACTTTCCCTTTTTAACCTGCTTTTTAGTACAAAAACATTGCAATGCAAAGAAAGGACAAGATTTCTACCTGTAGCTTTGCATAATACTTAGCTTCACTTCTATTCATAAATTTGGGTTTAATATAAAGAAATATTTTAGAGAATGATAGAAAGAGAAAAAAAGCCAACATGAACTGGACATTCAAGGAATAAACACAAATAAAATGTCCTGTCCTTTGATGAAAGTATCTGGCAGAAAAAGATAATTAATAAAATTATCTCATAATTAAAAAATATGGGGGTTATGTTTTTTTCAGTGTTTTTTTTAATGTCATTTCAGTGAATGCACATCAGATGGTTTAGAGTGCAAGTTTGATGATAAAGGTAAGACAGCTAAGAGCTATTAAGAAAACACAATACTGGATATTATCTTTCCATGGATGCCTGATAATAAACTTCTTTTGAATTACAGCATGCCACTGCATTTATGAAGGGAAAAGCTATAAATATGGTGAACTCATCTACAACACCACAGATGGAACTGGATGGTGTTTCACTGCAACATGTGATGTCAATGGAACAATTAGCAGAAATATCTTTAAATGTGGCATCTTTACAACAACTCCATTTCTTTTTCTTACAAGTCAGTCTGAAACTACTGCTTCAGGTATGCACAAATACTCTTTAAAGTAACTGAAAAAATCTCTGGAAGGGACTCTTCGTTAGGGACTGTAGTGGTAGGACAAGGGATAATGGCTTTAAACTTGAACAGGGGAACTTTAGATTAGATATAAGGAAGTTCATCACAGTGAGGGTGGTGAGGCACTGGAATAGGTTGCCCAAGGAAGTTGTGAATGTTCCAACCCTGGTGGTGTTCAAGGCCAGACTGGACAGAGCCTTGGGCAACATAGTTTAGTGTGTGATGTCCCTGCTCATGGCAGGGGGGTTGGAACTAGATGATCTTAAGGTCCTTTCCAACCCTAACTATTCTATGATTCTATGAAAATTGCTAAAATAGAGGGCCCTTTCATTATTAAGGACATAAAATTTTTACTTGAATCTGTTTACTTCTGCTGAAACCACCAATTCATTTTGCAGGTTCAGTTGCTTAAGAAGTACATAATCTAGGATGTAGAAATGAGTACAGCAGATCTTACAAACTCAGCCTGCACTGTTTCACCATGTTTTTTCCAAGGGAAAGAAATAATAGAGCTTACTAACCATTGCACCTTGGAGAACCTTCTTGTTTCCTTGCAAAAAAACCCAGCAGTCCTAGACAGACTTCTGAAAGCACATGAGACTGTCATTTGTTAAATTACTGACTACATTAGCACAAACTGAAGATAAGACATCTACCTAAGGGCGTGCTCAAATTATTTAAAACCATTCTTTGGAACCTTTCCCAACTGTATTTAAGAACCAAATCAATAGTTTCCTTCTAGTCCTGCAGTACACTTCTATATTATTCCTGCAGTTAACGTATTAACAGTGACCATGTAATTGTAAGAAATTGTGAGAAGTATTTCCAAAAAATTACACAATACGACAGCAAGAACTAAATATTCAACTTTAAGTCTTCTATTAAGTAACATCCGTATGAAGAAAGGGACATATATTCCTCATGGTTAACTTTATAATACTAAGAATATGAAAAGAAATAAGTAAAAAAAAAACTAATCAGACTATATATTTCCTATATATTATGTATGTGTATTCCATATTATAATGTATTATATATAAAATACATGCGTTAAATATTTATCTTACATTTATAAATATATTACAAGTTATATTAAAATAAGTAGAAAACTCATTAACCTGTAAGAATATTTCAAAAACTCTGTGCTTATGCAGTTAAGTGTAAATAAGTACATAGGTAATACCAGGGAGAATAAAACCTCTTTTTACTTAAACCACAGCAATCATGAGATCACATTATCCCATATATTGCCATTCCACAAAAAGGGTATCACATTAGCTATATTTATATATAGCACTGAATAAATGCCATACAAATTACCACTTCAAAAATAATACAGACATCAGATCAAAACCTACCTTTAAAGACTGTCAAAGCAAGATCATTAGAATTAAAATACTATATTAACATACATAATATTATATCCAACATTAAAAAATATGGAAGATGAGTAACTTTTACCTGGCACTGTCTTTAATAAAAAGAGATGAGACTTACATTTTCTCAATTTCATTACAGAAACGACAACTGCAGCACCAGTGACAACTGTATGTGTGCAGAAAATGTGTTTGTGGTCAGACTGGTATGACTGCACACAGCCTGAAAATAAAGAGGACAGTGGAGATTATGAAACATTTGAAAATCTCCGAGAAAAAGGATACAGTGTGTGTAAAAATCCAAAGAGTGTTCAATGCAGAGCCAAGGAATACCCAAATACAGAAATAAACAATCTTAACGAAAAAGTACAATGTAGCATAAGTACAGGATTAATATGCAATAACAAAGACCAGCAATCTAAGAACTGCTATAATTATGAAATCAGAATATTATGCTGCAGTTACATACCATGCTCAGAATTAACAACTACAACTGCAAGAACCACAGAATACACAACTACTGCTGTAAAATCAACACTATTTACAATACAAACAAAATCACAAGAACCAACACAGAAACGAGAAACAGAAGAGCAAAAAAGTGAAGTAACTACATCAACAACAAACAGAAAAAGTACAACGCCGACTCCACGAACCCAGGCTCCAACATCACACAGTACTGCCACCACTCCCTACCCATCAGCAACGACAACCACCACTGGCACCACTGTTCTCCCCAGTACCACTGCCCT